TCCCAGCTGGGAAGCATTACTTTCTCCGTGCCTATGCTTCAGAGTTCTCTCATTCTCATTGCAAGGTGATGGATACAGACACAAATAAAGGGATTTTTGCGGTCAAAAAAAACTATTTTTTAACATTAGGGTTGATATACTCTTAAAGGAACCTATTTACTGCAGTAGTCTGTGTTACCTATTTATTCTCCCATCCATGCAAGAAATACTTCCAGGGAGCTTGCCCTATGCTGAAGAGATAGGAATGAATAAGACAAACAGTGCCTGCTGCTTGGAGCCTGAGAGTTCAGAAGACCTACAATGAAGCCAGCAGTTATAATAGAGGCTATTGTAATGAAGGAAATACAGGGTACTATGGGAGCCAGAGCAAGGGAACCTAATGACCAACCTGATCTAGGAGACAGAGAATACCTTCCCAAATAAGTGAAATTTAAGCTGAGATTCCTCTGTAAGAGAAAATGAGGTGAAACCCAAAAGGCTTTAAGGATATTTAAGGTGAAGAAACAGCTTTTACAAGGGCTGGGGATGAGCTAGAGTAGGTAAAATTTTAAAAAGCAAAAGCATGTCGGGTGCCTGGGTGGCTCAGTTGGTTAAGCGACTGCCTTCGGCTCAGGTCATGATCCTGGAGTCCCTGGATCAAGTCCCACATCGGGCTCCCTGCTCGGCAGGGAGTCTGCTTCTCCCTCTGACCCTCCCCCCTCTCATGTGCTCTCTCTCTCTCTCTCTCATTCTCTCTGTCTCAAATAAATAAATAAAATCTTTAAAAAAAAAAAAGCAAAAGCATGTCAGCAGAGCATAAAACGCAAGGTTCTTGGAGAAGGGAGAAAAATTTAAGATTTGGAGAGATTTCTGAGAACCAGATTGTGAGATCTTTTAGATGAATTAACAAATTGGAATTTTATCCAAGAACAATTGGAAATATAACTCAAGGGGCTAAGTTAAAACTTGAAAGGATGTGATAACCAGACTAAGAAATGTTCAGTGCCTAACGGAGCAATATATTGGATGAATCATCAATATTCCGACCAAAATAAACTACTTAGATGTGATTATCTTGGCTTTTCTTATCCATTAGAACAGTAACATTGAAATACAGACTCATTTCATATAATGACTATTGATTTCAATGACTTTTTATCATAACAACTTTTAAAACATTATATTGCTTTTCAGACTCTTTTTTTTTCTTGTTATAATTATATTTACTCCCTAACCACTCCAATTAAATTCTCTGTAAAATAGTAATATTCTGGGGCATCTGGGTGGCTCAGTCAGTTAAGCATCCAACTCTTGATTTTGGCTCAGGTCATGATCTCCGGGTGGGGAGATTGAGCCAGATGTAGGGCTCTGTGCTCAACATGGAGTCTGCTTGTCTCTCTCCCTCTGCTCCTCCCCTCGATTGCATGTGCTCTCTTTCTCAAACAAATAAATAAATAAATAAAATCTTTTTTTAAAAAGTGGTATTTCAATGTTGCAGTTTTAAAAAAAACACAGTCACTGGGGTGCCTGGGTCGCTCAGCCAGTTAAGTGACCAACTATTGATTTCAGCTCAGGTCATGATCTTAGGGTCCTGAGATAGAGCCCAAGTCAGCTCCATGCTCAGTGGGGAATCTGCTTGAGATTCTCTCTCTCCCCAGCTTGCAGGCACTCTCTTTTTCTCTCTCTCTCTCTCTCTAAAATAAATACATAAGTTTTTAAAAAAATAATAAAAGAAAAAAGATAGTAACTAATTTACACAATACATTTCTGGTAAGAACATTTCAAATGGAGCACATTTGAATTGAGCTCCATGACTGGATGATCCAATATTTTGCTAAGCAGACCTATTTATGCCAACAGATCTGTACTCTGCAGTTTGTTGACCATATCCATGTGTTTCAAAGCTTTCTGATGTTTTATTTTGCTCTGAAGTTCTTTCCAATTGCTATAACTTTATTTCTAAGTGCAAAATAATCCTGAGTCTTCTTAAGGTAAAACTGATAAAGATCGTGTGGAAAGAAGAATGCACCTTTCAGGAATGACTTTTGCACCCTCCTCCACCACCCATATCAAATCATCTCTTTTTCCTTTGGAGAACATAAGAAATTTTCATCATGTTACATTTTATGCACAATTTGAATTTATTTACTTTCATATTGTTGTTTACTACTTATATTTACATTATTTAATTGATATATACTTTTTCAATCTATGAAAAGTGATTTGGTTATCTTTGGTCAAGATGGAATACATTGTAATTTTCTCATTAAAATTCACAAATATTTTTAAATTTATGGTATGTTTTATGGTATGGATTTCAGGAATGAAATAATATCATCAATCAAGGAATAGGTATTCATCAAAGGACAGAGTTGAAACCAAACGCTTAAGACATGTCAATAACTGTAACTAGGCTTCCACAAAATAAGAAATTATAACCAGGAAATAACCATTAAAACAGGATTTTTTTTTTATTTTATTATTTTTTTTAAAGATTTTTTTATTTATTTATTTGAGAGAGACAATGAGATAGAGAGAGCATGAGAGGGAGGAGGGTCAGAGGGAGAAGCAGACTCCCTGCCGAGCAGGGAGCCCGACACAGGACTCGATCCCAGGACTCCAGGATCATGACCTGAGCTAAAAGCAGTCGCTCAACCAACTGAGCCACCCAGGTGCCCTAAAACAGGATAATTTTAAAATCATAAGAGATTACTTTGTAAATGAATGTGAACTAGCTGAACTGAATAATTTCCTAAGAAAATGTGATTTATCCAATTGGTCCCAGTAAAAACAGAATGTTAAAAGAGATGTATAGAAAAAAACAGAAACAGTTATTGAGGAACCACCCTACATGAAAACACCAAGTGCAGATGATTTCACAGGCAAATTCTCATAAAAAGAGCAAAGATCAGATAATCCCAATGACACATATGTTATTCTAGTACATAGGGAAAAAAGAAAACTCCCAAATTCTTTTGCAAAGCAAGTATAACATTGATATTAACACATGATAAACATATGACAAAAATACTGCAGGCCAATCTTACTTAGGAATTTTAATGCAAAAGTCCTTAATTAAAATATTAGCAAACAAAACAAAACAAAAAAATATTAGCAAACAGAATCCAAAACATCAAGGAAATAATACACGTGATCAAATGAGATTTACTCTAGTAATGTAAAAATAATTCAATATTAGGAAACCCATTGTTATAATTTCTTATAGTAATACAAGTAAGGACAAAAATGATGATTATCTTCATTAATGCTAAAAAGCCTGACAAAACTTTATACCCATTCCTGATATGGTCTGTTATGGGCTGAACTGTGTCCCCCGCCCCCCCCAGATTCATATATAGAAGCCTAACCTCCCCCAGGAGTGTATGTGGAAATAGGGCTTTTAAAGATATAATTACGTTAAAATGGATCATTTAATTCCATAATGTCCTTATTAGGTTTAGGACACAGACACACAGACAGAAAGATGACCATGGAGGACACAGTGAGAAGGTAGACATCAGCAAGCAGAGGAGAGAGGCCTCAAAAGAAACAGAACCTGCAACATCTTGATCTCAGCTTCCAGCCTCCAGAACTATGAGAAAATAAATTTCTGTTGTTTAAGCCATCCAGTCTGTGGTATTCTGTTATGAGAGCGCCAACAAACTAATATACCCTACACTAACCCCCCAAAACTAAATATGATATGATTTTACACAACCCAGTCTTAACGCCAGCACCTTATTTAATAAGGCAACACTGAAGGCATTCCCACAAAAAACAAGAACAAAGCAAGGATGCCCACAATCTGCACCACTACTTCACATCATATTAAGATGAAATTTGGCAATAGAAAACAAGCAAACATACTACTCAGAAAAGCAGTAGTAAAACAATTTCTGTATGCAGATGATATAATAGTATACCTGCTAGCCCAGGGGAATCACTAATAAAGCTAACTCAAACAGAAAAAGTACTCGATAATATAGCAGGATGTAAAATTAACATATGAAAATCAATAGCCTTGATACAGTCAAACAATAACCAGATAAAAAAGCATCTGTGCTTTGGTCCAGGTCTTTGTGGGGATGGTTCTGCTCTTCCTCTAATTAAGTAAGGTACTGACTGACTTCAAGACAAAGTGTGTAAGTCATATTTATTTATTTTGAGGGTGGGGAGACTAGAAGTGGGTGTAAAATCTTTTCAAAGGCTTTTTTTAGCATAATGGGAGAGGAAATTTCAATTAAAAAATAAATAAAATACCTAGGAATAAAGGAATATATTTTTAAAAAACACTCCTAAAGAACACAAAAATAGGCCTGAACTAATAGAAAGACCTATCTCTCTATTAGATAAGATGAATAAGATGATTCATTGTGATAAAGATATCAATTCTCCCTAAGTTAATATTTAAATGTAATGTGATCCCCATTATATGTTAACAAAAAGAATTAAAAATAAACAAAAATAAAAAATAAAAAAATAAATGCAATGTGATCCCAATAAAAATGCCAGGGTTTTTTATTATTTTTTATTTTGTTTTTGTTTTTTTAACTAGGAAATGTGATGCTAAAGCTCATGTGGGAAAATAAAAATGGAAGAATATCTAGGAAACCCTGAAAAATAACAGCAATAAGGAGAGAATAGCCCTCCCAGAAACTGAAATATAACAAAAAGCTCTAGAATGAAAAAAGCATGGCGCTAGTGAGAAGTAGACCAGTGGAACAGAACAGAAATTAGAGAAATAGACCCAAGTATACATGAAAGTTACTTTGTTACTGTCACAAATGTAGCATCTCAAATCAATAGGGAAGGGTAAAAATTTTTTTTTTTTTTCAGGAAGAACTATTTTAATTTTCTATTAAGCATTCTTCCAAAAGCATTATTTTATCCCGTATCTTACTGAGTTATAAGAAATAACATTAGCATTAGAAAAAACAGGAAGAAGATAAATCAAATGTGGATAATTAAACTTATATGGAAAAGGAAAATGAGAACAAAGGACTGACAGCTTTACAGATAGATACTTGGAAAACTGTGCATCTCAAAGCAAACTTTATTTGTTCAATTATTTTTAACAATAGCGTTTTAAGACCAATACACTGATTTTTTCAAGAAGGAAAGTCATTTTAAAAATACTTTTATTTTAAAAATAGGCCTGCATTCAGCTGTAGATTTTTTTCCCCCCAAGCTCTGATCAGGTTTATTTTGATTTGGGGAAAAAAAATACCATTGTGATGGCATGAAAAGCAAAATTTAAGTCTTTTTTAAAAACATCTCAGTACAGAATTTTAAAAACTATTAATGGAAAATAGAGTAAGGACATTAAGTCACAACAGTAATTACCACTGGCCAGTTCCTAGTATTCGGCTTCTCCCCTAGTTCTCCAGAGGAAAACTTAAGTTGAATCTTCAGCAGAATGATCTTTAAATATACTTTATAAGCAAAATGAGAGCTTTTGTTTACATAGTTTTTAGATTTTGCTGTTCCTAATTTTATTCTGAAACTCAAGTTTTACCCCAAACCATAATTACCATATGAACTTTGTAATGCACAGTTTTGTATGCAATTCAGCATGCAGTAGTACACCATTGGGCCCTGTCCACCCAGAGCTTAGGAAAAACAGGATCGGTCACACCCATTTAAAAACAAATCTCACACTATTTGCCAATGTGTAGTTTCCGTCTAAGTTAGGACAATGAAATATATGGATATATATCTATATATCTCATCTTAATTTTCAAAGGTAGGCAAAGGGAGTTCTTCACAGCTTAGCTTTGCCCCGCTGAAGCTGAAGATTTTGCAACTTCATAGCCAGACCCATGTTGCCAGTGATTTTCAATTTGCCTTGAAAGAAGGCCGACTGAGGATTCATTTTACCAGTCATTAACGCCAGTAAGTCCGAGTCAGCCATTGTGATTGTGCAGTCAGCCTTCTTATCTGAGTTAGGAAGAACTGATCCTTTGCCATTCTTCACATCCACCACTCAGGTGGCTTCTTTACCCTCAGGGCCGTCCTTCACCTTGAAAGCAAAAATACCACCGATTTTCTTCACAAACTGTTCCCCTTCCTCTTCAAGCTTCTTCTCAATCTCCTTAAAGACAACATTTGCCTTAAATCCATTAACTGCAGAGCTGGTTGGAAGAGCCTCAATTTGATGAGTTCTGAAAGAACTGGCAGCTTCAAGAAAACCCATCTTGTAGATCCAGGAAGGGTAAAATTTTTAATAAATGCTGTCCTGTATACTCATTTGGAAGAAGATAACATTAGATACACACTTCTCACCACACACAAGAATAAACGCCAAATAGGTAAAAGATCAAATCATGTATAAAAAGAAAAGGAAAAGAAAAGAAACCATGCAAGTAGTAGAAAAATAAGGGAAATTCTTTTATAATCTAAGTGTGGGACAGCTTTCTAAAAGTGACTTGAGAGACAATCCGTAAGAGACTCTTAACCATAGGAAACAGGGGGCCTGGGTGGCTCAGTTGGTTAAGCGACTGCCTTCGGCTTGGGTCATGATCCTGGAGTCCCGGGATCGAGTCCCATATCGGGCTCCTTGCTCAGCAGGGGGTCTGCTTCTCCCTCTGACCCTCCCCCCTCTCATGTGCTCTCTCTCTCTCATTCTCTCTCTCAAATAAATAAATAAAATCTTTAAAAAAAAAAAAAAACCATAGGAAACAAACTGAGGGTTGCTGGAGGGGAGGTGGGTTGGGGGATGGGGTAACTGTGTGATGGGCATTAGGGAGGGCACGTGATGTAAAGAGCACTGGGTGTTATATGCAATTGATGAATAACTGAACTCTACCTCTGAAACTAATATTATAATATATGTGAATTAATTGAATTTAAATAAAATAAAATTTTAAAAAGTGACCTGAAGTCCAGATGCAACAAAAGAAAATGTTAAATAAATGTGACTGCACTAAGAAAAACCTTTTTCATGAAAAATAAACCACCATAAACAAAGTCAAAGGATAAATGACAAGCTAGGTGAAAATATTTGAACAGATAGCATATATAAAGAGGGTTGATCTCACCAATATGTAAAAAATTCATAAAAAATAAGGGGAACCTTATGACCATGGCCATAATGGAGTAGCAGAGACTAGATTACTCTCACATATGAAACAGCTGAAAAACCAGACAAAACACATGAAAGAATGGTTTTCAGACACTGGACCACAAGCAGCACAAGGCATGATCCTTGAGAGAAGCAAAACAAATGAAGTCATGCCTCTGAGGGCCCCAGCTTCCTGCCTGAAGAGAGTTTCCAGGCCACAACAAAGGGAGCGGGAGGCCAAACAAAGTCAAGTTACTCCATTGAGTTGCAGAGACAGAGTTAGAATTTGGGGAGGTGAAGGGCGTGGCAGAGTACCCAAGAGGAGAAAAATGCACAGAGAAGAGAGGGCTGTGTAGCTAGAGAACTCAAGGGATCTGAAGAGGATTCCTCTTGAGCCTTCAGCTAAGTACTAGGAAAAACATGCATGTGAGGGAAACTCCTGAGCCAGAGAAAGAACCACTGGAAAGGAGCAGAAGGAACAATCCTCAGAGACTGTATAGCACTGGGAATAGCTTATGTCCCCACTAGCCGGAGTGGAGGAACCTCAAAATAAATGGGAAATCTGACCGAATGGGAATCTGTAAGTTACAGAAGGGAGGTCAGTGCTTGCCCAGGGATGGGAGTGAGGGATGAAAAAGAGACGGATTGCAAACAGGAAACTTTTGGGGGTAATTAGTATATTCATTATACATATGCTAAAACTCAACAAATTGGATTTCTTTTTAAAGATTTTATTTATTTATTTGAGAAAGAGAGACAGAGCACAAGAAGGGGGAGAGGGAGAGGGAGAAGAAGACTCCCCACTTAGTGAAGAGCCCCACATGGGCTCGATCCCAGGACCTGGAGATCATGACCTGGGCAGAAGGCAGCCACTTAACTGACTGAGCCACCTAGATGCCCCTAAATTGGATATTTTAAATGTGTGCAATTTTATTATACATCGATTATACCTCAATAAAACCATGAGGGAAGTAAGTTTTTAAAAATTAAGAGGAAGAGAAAACACAAAATTAAAAAAAAAAAGATAAATAAATACCCTTAAACATATAAAAAATGCATAATTTCACCTATAATAAAAGAAATGCACAATACTGATGCCACTTATTACCTTTCATATTGGGAAAAATTCAGGAGCATTTCAATGCACACTTGAAGCTATGAAGAAACAGGCATTCTTAAACTTTCCAGGTGGTAGTACAAAATGGTATGTAATCCATTGGGTGGGGATTGGCAATGTCTACCAAAACTGTATATGCATTTATTCTTTGTTCCAGCATTCTAACTTCTAGGAATAATCCTGAAGATACAGTCCCCCCTCCCCCCCAAAAAAGAGTTTTTTCAATGTGACATTACTAGTAATAGCAAAATATTTGGAACAATCTTTCATAGCAGCCTGGTTGAATAAACTATTGAACATCCATACAACTATGTAGCTCCAAAGTTGAATTTTAATAAAAACAACTGAACTTAGCTCTATATATTGAATTGATAACAAATCACAGAAAAAAAATCACTGAATTAATTAAAGTATCTTTAAAATAGGGGCACCTGATGACTCAGTCGGTTGTGTCCCACTCTTGATTTTGGTTGAGGTCAGGATCTCAGAGCTGTGAGATGGAGCCCCGCATCAGGCTCTACGCTGGGTGTGGAGCCTGCTTAAGATTCTCTCTCTCTCTCTGTCTCTCTCCCTCTCCCTCTACTTTCTCTCTCCCTCTCTAAAACAAAAAATAATAAAATAAAGTATCTTTAAAATATAGTAATCTGAGTGTATCCTTAGTTGACATACTCCAAGGACAAAAAGAACTGCTTAGAAGATTTGGCTTTGGTTGGCATAATAATTCTAATCCAAATTCATATTATATCCTAATTGTACGAGAGAAAAGAGGAGTGAATACATTGATATTCTGAGTAATTGAGGTTCTCTCTGTGGAAAAAGAAAAATGTAAATATGGGTCGGGGGAAGGAGAGGGAGAGCCTCGTGGCATTGTTTCAGAATAGGAAGTTATTAGTACATCAACTTTTTTTTTCCAATATATTTCCTTGTTCTCCCCTTGAAAGGGCACAGAGGCCATGACATACCAGCGGCAGCAAATACACCTATTCCCCAGTGTCAAGAGCTGTACAGGGTCTGAGACTTCATCCTACTTACAACCTGATAAGTGAGCCTGCCATAGCATCATGAATGCTAGCCGAACACAAGGAACTCCTGGGTTAGCAACAAGGACTTTATTACAGAAATAGCAATTGCTGGACTATCAGCAACTCTGCCAGCTCCCCAGCCCCCATTCCCACAGGGCAACATGGAAAGGGCCAGGTGATGTCTGTACATTCCACGGGTTTCTTTACAAGAGGACCCTGAATTTAAGGAATCCTGTCTTGTAGAATGGGAACAGCCTTCCCATTCTCCATGATTCACCCCAAAGGGAGACATTATCTTTATCATATCGTAATAATGAAGCCACTGCCTCATTTCTCTTTAGGTTTCTTTTCATTTCCTTAATTCGCCGTTAAGACGATGGACACATCATCTTTACTGTTACCACTTTACGTTGTCCTTATTTATATTTGGACCATGGATGATTCAAAGGTACTTCACAAAGGCACAGGGGTTCTGCAGCACCTCCCTGTTTATTCTCCCTTCCTCACAGCTTCTTACACATGCTTAGGTTAAAGTCACTCTCATCTGTGTGAAGCCCCTAACGGTAGAGTGAAGGGTGGTACCTTCCATTATTAAATAACATTACTGTCAGCAGCTCACACGAACACACAGCCCCCAAAGCATGTTCAAAAGACATGTCTAGGGGCTCCTGGCTGGCTCAGTCAGTTAAGCGTCTGCCTTC